ACAACAACAACAACAACAACAACGTTCCACGTAGATGTAAAAAAATGGAAAAAAAGGTTGTGAAGTTGTGTTAGTATAGTAATACAAATCGAGAAACTGGGATACCGATAACTTTTAGTATTGACCAGATCTTAAAGGGTTAAGTGAAGGGGAAGGGGAACAAAGGAAGTATGATTAAGCAAGGGTAGCGTTATACAATTCCTTTTCAGATTCGTATCTTTTTTTATCAGCTTCAGCTTTTGCTTCGAAAGGTACTTTATCTTCAGGAGTTAAAGCTTTCCATTTTTCACCTAAAATTCTACCAACTTGACCAAAGGAAACATCAGGGTTTTCAGCTCTTACGATATCTCTTGTTTCATTAGCGAAGAACATGTAAGCAGACAAAGCTCTTTTTGGAGCATTTGGGTCCTTCTTTCTTCTGGTAGTTCTCTTCTTTGATTCTCTTGGGGCAGCCATTTGTTTAGAACTTGAAATTAAAATAAATACTGGTAGTGATGTACTTGGGTTATTTAGAATTGCAGTTATAATTACAATAAATTACAATTACAATTTTACAACAAGAAGCAAAAGTAAAACTAAAACTAAAGTTAAAAATGAAAATGCAAACCACAATTGAAACAAACAACAAACACTAAAGACAGTTAAAGAATTACAAATACATATATCCTTAAATAAACAAACAAACGATAGACTTAATTACAATTTAATCAACACTCTAGCATTCACCAAACCAACCTACAGTTACTATTCCATAACCTACTATCACTGACATCGACATCTCTGACACCAATACCAATACCAATACCAATACCATACTTAGCATTACTATTACTATTACTATCACTATCACTATCAGTTTTACTATTAGTATTACTATTAGTATTACTATTAGTATTACTATTAGAGTGTGTATAATCTGTCTATTACACATACAATAATAAAATTCAAAATTAGTTGGGAGGTCAGTTTAGTATGGGGAGTTTAGTATGGTTGCTGGTTGCTGGTGGTTGGTGATACCAATCTGCCAATCGTATTTCGGCACAACAGAGACTAAGGGGGAAAAGAGAAGAAGAAAATTTTTTATTTATGTCGTGTTTGGTGATGTGCAATTTATGCGTAGGGTAATTTATCTGGTCACGTGTTTTGGTGGATTTATATCCAACTATATCTACATCTATACAATCACTCTACTCGTCCACGACTAAATATTATGCCTATACACTAATGGGTTCTCTTTATTAACATTATTATTTATATTTTTTATATATGTATGTATATATACAGGTAACTATGCACTCGAACTGATGATATCACTGGTCGTCTGTCTTCGAGAGCATCTTGTCGTAATGGGGAAGGTACTTTTCTGGTCCAAATCCCTGTGTCTGTGCATACGCTCCAATCAACCTATTGCTGTAATGCAACTTGGCCACACATCGGTCAATACACTCCATCTCTCCCTTGTTCAATTCCGTCTCTCCATACCCTTCATGCGGTATACACTTCTCTAAACAGCCCTTCAGTATATTGTTGAACGTTTGATTCATAGCATCAAATTGAACTTCTGCTACTTTAAGTCTCTCTTCTGATACCTCTTGTCCTCCTGAAGGATTGAAAAAATATGACATCTTCTGCTTACAAAACTGCTCTGGACTATCTCCCGGTACACATACAAACACTCTCTCCCTCTGCTCTTGGATCAAAACTCTAATTTTAAACTCAACTTCTTATCTCATCCATATATACCTTCACCTGCCTCATTTATTATAATTTTTGCACGCTTATTAAATATCTTTTTTTTTCTTTTAGGAAAAATACTCAAATATATAATATACATCGAATTGAAAAAGAAAAAAAAAGATTGAAGTTACTACCTCATCTCATCTCTTTTCTTTAGCGGTAAACTATATTTTGGTTCAATTATCTAGATATCTAATTCATATCAAAACAACATCCCCACAGTGATCCTACTGAAAATACAGCTATCATGAGAGTCCTGATCACTAACGATGACGGTCCTCTACATGATGAATTCTCTCCATACATTAGACCTTTCTTACAAACATTAAAAAAATTCCATCCAGATTGGCAGATTACTATTTGTGTACCTCATGAACAGAGGTCATGGATCGGTAAGGCTCATCTTGCTGGTAAAACTTTATCTGCAAAGTTTTTATATTCAAGAATCAATGCAAACGACAATAGTTATATAGGTCCATTCACTCACCCACAATTACCTTTGAAGGATTCAAAACTGCCACGTAATTCTTATAATAATGATTTAAGTTTCGACGACCATCTAGAATGGTGTCTACTAGATGGTACCCCTGCATCTTGCTCAAATATTGGTTTACACCATTTGATGGATCACAAATTTGATTTGGTCATATCGGGACCAAATGTGGGTAGAAACACTTCTGCCGCTTACATCACATCCAGTGGTACCGTAGGTGCAGCTATGGAATCAGTCATTGCAGGCAATACAAGGGCAATTGCTTTGTCCTGGGCTTACTTCAGTGGTATGAAAAATGTGAATAATGAATTAATGGAAATCGCATCAACAAGATCCTTACAAATTATTAACCATCTATTTAACAATTGGGATGAGAAAGTTGATCTTTATAGTATCAATGTTCCATTGGCACCTACTTTATCAACAGAAACTAAAGTACACTACGCACCAATTTGGGAAAACAGATGGTCTTCTATTTATACTACCGCCCAAATTCATACCACCTTGCAAAACCAAGAAATTGAAGATGGTTCTGAATTACATTCAATCACTTTCGACTGGTCCCCAGTTTTCAACACTTCTCATTCAAAGCATCAACCTCATGACCTGTTAACTGACATGGCCATTATTGAGAAAAATGAAATTAGCGTCACTCCCCTACGAGCAACTTTTAATAGTGTCTCTCATTTGATGGGAGAGTTAGTCCTAGATGAAGTAAAGGAAAATAAGGAAAATAAAACTAGTCCAAATGTAGTAGTATCAATTGATAAATCTGAGTATATTTATAACCCACTTTCCCAGGCTATCGAAAGATATTTACCTCAAACTCATATCATATCACAGATCCCTAAGGATTCAAGATCACTAGTATTTCATTACGGTGACTACGAACAACTAGATCTAGAAAGATTATTGGAGGATCCCAAGACTTATAGTGCTAATTCCTATATCTATAGAAAGGCTTTAATCAGAAAACACTATCTTTCAGAGACAATTCACACCTACAGAGTTAAACATCCTGAATCAATTTTAAGCAAGGCTTACTTGGAGTCCTTCACATTAGATTTGGATTATGCTGAGTTTTTGGATGATTCTTTAGATGAAAACTGGGAATTGAGACAAGAATTAGAGAAAGAAAATAGGTGGTGGATTGTTAAGCCAAGTATGAGTGACAAAGGACAAGGTATTAGGGTATTCAAAACTATTGATGATCTTCAGTCAATTTTTGACTCCTTTGATGAAGATGATACTGATGATGAAGATGTCGAGGTTGATGATAATAAAATAATAATCTCCCAATTACGTCACTTTATTGTACAACAATATCTAAGTGACCCGCTTTTATTACCTTCAATGAATAACAAAAAATTTCATATAAGATGTTATATTACTTGTAAAGGTGATTTAGAAGTGTTTGTTTATGACAGAATGTTAGCTTTATTTGCTCCAAACGAATATCATAGACCAAATGAAATTGATTTTGATCCAACTGATATTAAAAACATTGCATGTCACCTAACCAATACTTGTTTACAATCAGATTCACAACAAAAGGAAATTTCGGTGATGGAATTCTCAAAATTAGAAGATATTCCAGATGAGAATAAATCAAAAATTATCAACCAAATACATGAAATTGCTCGTGAAGTATTTTTGGCAGCAGTAAGCGTTAACAAGATAAATTTCCAACCCTTGCCCAATGCCTTTGAAACATATGGTGTTGACTTTTTGGTTGACAGTTCTTATAATGTTAAGATCTTGGAAGTCAATGCATACCCAGATTTCAAACAAACAGGTAATGAGTTGAAGGGACTAATCGATGAACTATTTGACAACATTGTGAATTATTGTATTGCTCCATTTTTGGATGAAAAACATGATCCTCAAGTAGCATCGAAGTATAGTAGTTTCAACAGAGTTCTTTCTCATAACTCAAATGAATGGTAAATGTTCTTCACCATAACCTAATGAATATACAAAAATTTACTATAAAACATAAATATCATATCTAATACCTTTTAAAGCATAGTTATATAAACTATTAATTACAGCCCGAATACCAATATTTTGACCAAATCATAGTATTGAGCTTCAGAACTCATTATATATACTAATATGGGTTTATGATTATGTTCAAGTGGCCTCCTCTTCTTCTTCAGCGTCTTCGTTTAATGGATTCTCATCTTCCATCGATCTATTAGTTGTTGCGCTAATCAAACCTCTTTTAACCACTCTTAATGCATTTGGGACAGTGACGCCTTCTTCTTGGATACCTGAATATTCCTTACTCCATGCATATATCCTTTCCTTGATTCTATTAGCTTTCACGAGAAAGCCTCTAATTTTTTGTAAATTCCTTATAAATTCTTGATTTCTCTGTAATGCTATCTGGGTTAATTGTCTTGCTGTTTCTAGTTCCTCTGCTATTTGAGGCGAGTCATAGTTAGGTATTTGTGATAGTAATTCTTCAGCACTATTTATACTAGGAAGGGCAAAAAATTGGTCGACTTCTTTCGAGTCTTCTTCCTTCTTCTCTGAACTTTGTTTTGAATTTCCAGGAATGTTATTTTCTATATTAGAGCATTCATCTTCATCTGGCAATTCTAAATTATGATCATATTCTGGTAGTTTTAAATTCTTTTCATATAGTGGGCCATGGATATCACCCAAGAATACTTCCAACAATTTCGAATACTTTATCACAGAATCCTGTTCTTTCTCAATCAATAATATAGACTGCAGAGCCAATTCGTTTAAGATCTTGCTCTTGAATATTCTCAAAAGCGGACTTTGTTGATAAATATCACTCAGAGATGAAATAGGTATCAACATTTTTCTCACATCAACAATATCATTCAAGTCATCATCATCATCAACATTTATATATGGGTTTTCATTTTTATCTTCAACGAACTTGGGATTAAACTTCATACGTTTCCTTTGAAGTAAATTATGTTCCGAACCATTATAAAACACACATTCTTCATCGATTGGTTTTGAATTATTTAAACTTCTTTTTGTTATAAGTTCACTTTTTTGTAAGAGTTTATTACCTCTATTAGTAGTCACACCATTAACCTCTGGATATACTATACTCCCATCCAATGATCTTTTCAAAGGAGGATAGTTACCACATTTATCTCTAATTATCTTCCTAGAGAAAGAATCAGTAAGATTCTTCTCATCTTTAAGAATTTTTTCGGCCTCTATAGTCATTATCAAATCACTTCTAAAGAGATTAGTGTTCTTTCAGCTTATGAATAATAAGTGATCCCAGCTACTTTCTTTTAAGATACTAGACATTCACATCAAACATAATACCCAACAAATAGAGTTGAAAAATATCAATACTAATCTTTTAAGAACTATATATCACCTCTTCCAATTCCTCAGTAATCCTAAAGGAACAAGAACCTTTAAAGTTTCATCACTTCAAAAATTATTTGCTTTGTTAAGAATAAAATATCCAAAATCACGTGATAACATATAATATAGAATTGATGAAGTGTCATTAAATACCATGTATATGTTTAGATATGTACTTGAGAGAAGATACATGTAGCAATTGACAGATATATATGAGGACTTATTGACGATGTATATCAATTCGTACCTTTTCGATTGGGTATATCTCTAATTAGGGCTTGATAGGGTAAGAATTATAAATAAATTATCAATAGAACGAAAGAGAAAGTTGGAATCTACGAGGTGAATAAAGTGCCAATGCACACCATTTAAATTGGAGATTATTAATTCAAACAGGAGTGCAAATTTTTTTACTTGAAATTAACTAACACTAGTCTTTACAATTCATCCAAAGTTCATGGTTAATGAACTGCTTGATCATTATTGTAATTTAGTGGTTTCAGTAATGTCAGTTTAATGATGATTTATCTGGAAACTCAATTTCATTGTAAAAGTTAAAAATTCATTATTAAACAAAAATTCAATCTATTTCCATACAATCTTAAATCAAAATTAGGTTGGAATCTAAAACGTTATACAATATTCTCATTATATTCCTTTATACTTCATGCTATTTTCGATTGATTGATGATGAGAGAAACCCTACTTTATAATGACACAAAGTGATAGTAATTGATATGTTAAGGACAATACATTTCCATAGGGTGTCCTATATATTTATTTATAAACTAGGTAGTGGTAAAAGTGTATTGAAGGTTAGAATTGATATGAAATTTGGCAATAGTTTCCCATCTACTGAGGTGTTGACAGATCAAGTCACTCAAGAAATGTCAGACAATATATCACAATTGCAGTCCCAGAAGTTTGATTGGAAGAACTACAAATATTCGTCTGGGTCTGATCGGATAAAGCAACTGCTACACTCTCAGCTCGATAAAGCTCCTAGTGTAGATGATACTCTACCCAGAACAGTCTATGAAAGTGTTAAATTTAGCCTTCCTGGTCGATATGAAGTGATCCAAGTTTTAGGGAAGGGCTCATATGGAACAGTGTGCTCTGTAAGAGATAAGAAAAACCCATCAAATCCTTATTCAATTGCTGTCAAAAAAATTACTAATATCTTCTATAGAGAAATTTTGTTAAAGAGAGCCATTAGAGAATTAAAATTTATTAATTATTTTAGAGGTCATAAAAATATAGTAAGCTTAATCGATATTGAATTAGTAACAGAAAAGCCATATGATGGGCTCTACTGTTACCAGGAATTGATTGATTATGATTTAGCCAAAGTAATCCATTCTTCAGTTCAGTTAACAGATTTCCATATCAGGCATTTCTTTTATCAAATTTTATGTGGTATAAAATATATCCATTCTGCAGATGTTATCCACAGAGACTTGAAACCTGGAAATATACTTTGTACATTAAATGGTACTTTAAAGATTTGTGATTTTGGTTTAGCAAGAGGTGTGGCTCCAAAATATTTTGCAGCTAATCAATCTAGACATGACATTACGAACTACGTAGCAACGAGGTGGTATAGAGCACCAGAACTAATACTATCACAAAAAATGTATGATAAGTCAATCGATATGTGGTCTGCTGGATGTATATTAGCTGAATTTTATGGTAGAAAACCCAAATTCATGGGTAAAGATTCTATGCATCAAATTTATGAAATTATCAAAGTTCTTGGTTCACCTTCAAAAAAATTATTAAGTTCATTTGGATCTATTAAAGCCTGGAACATGTGTAACTCAGCAACTCCACCTCATAAAAAAGTAGAATGGAGAGACATTTACCCTTTTGCATGTCCTGATGCAATAGATTTACTTGATAGATTATTAAGATGGGAAGCTTCAGATCGACTAAAAGTACAAGAATCAATAGAACACCCTTTCCTGAATGAGGTCAGACATCCAGAAGATGAACCTATTTGTCCATGGGGTGCCTTTGATTTTTCATATGAAGAAAATTTGACTTCAATGCAAAGACTTCGTGAATATTTAATCAATGAAGTTTCACAATTTAAGGAAGAGAGAAATTGTAAGCTTTCAACACCACATGTCTACAAAAATATCACTATCATTGAAGAACCTGAACAATTGTAAAATAAATATATAAATAAATAAATAAACAAAATTCAAAAACTCTTAAGAAATAAAATACACAGTGTAATTCAAATACATAAGCTAACAAAGATGATCTTAAAATGTTGACATCAAGTAAAAATAAAAATTGGTATAAAACAAAAAGTTGAAATAAATTGGCAATTCTTAGTTTAATAGTTGTAATAATAAGTTTAGTAAAGAGTGAGAGTGATATATGTTTTAAATATGGTTTAATGAATTACTGTCATTCTAATACGGTTTGAGACAGCTGCCAGCATTGAAATATACAAATCACGTGAACAATAAGATCATCGTGTACGTGCCAACTTTCCCAAAATATTGAAGTTTTCCCTTTTTAAGGTGGAATCCACCTTGAATATAAAGAACCAACTAGATATCAAACAGATCCAGATTGGTAAGATCTGATCCAAAAGAGAGTTATAAGAGCATATATAATCAATCAATTGCATAATTAACTCAAGCATTCGTTTTTGTGTTTATTTTGAAAGTTAGCAGATTTGATCTTTGCTAATATTTGGCTAAATAAATAATTTTAAAAAAGTTTTGATTACAACTAATAGAATATATTATCAATGGATCATTTAGGAGTGAATCAACAGTCCAGAAGAAGGAGAGCTCTTTCGGTTAATACCTATACAAAGGCCCAACAACATACAATGTCTAATTCATTGGACAATTTGGATATGGATTTGGCCCAGGTCCAATCGCAATGGCATAGAATTATCTCAAATGATTCAAATCCTTTAGAATTAGCATTGAAATTTTTAGATGAAACTTCTGTGGGGTTGGGGCATAGATATACAGAATTTAATCAATTAAAGAAACAAATTGGTTCTGATCTACAAGCTGCAGTCAATGAACATTATCAAGCCTTCAATAGTAATGTAGCATCGTATAGTGTTGCTGTTGATTCCATTACTGTAGCTCAGAATAATGTTTATAATGTTAAGAAATCTGCAAGTGAGGCAAATAAAAAAATTACTACCCAAAAGGGTTCATTACAAGAATTGAATGAAAATACTATGAAACACACTCAGATGATCGATATATTATCTGCAATTGAAGGTTTACTCACAATTCCGGAAAAAATTGATGATCATGTAAGAAGAGAAGAGTATAGAGAAGCACAAAGGTTACTTGAACAAAGTCTTCTTCTTGCAAATAATCATAATCTGTGGTCAATGCCATCATTATTACCAATTAAGCAACAATTAGAAGTCAGTGAGCATAATTTGTTCCAAAATATGATTGAAGAAATTCATGATATAGTCTACTCTAAGAACTCTGTAGATATCCTGAGTAAAAATCTTTTGGGAAATTTTGATATTTCAAATTCTGGATTCACTAGTTTAGAAAGTTATTTATACAATGTCGTCAGTGTCGATATTATTCAACAATCTGAAAATATAAATTTCAAACTAGAAAAGGCAATAAAACAAATAAAGAGCATAAACCCAACTCATTTAAAGTCTACACAAATATTGATAGAAGAATCATCGGATTATGATAAACTTTTTAACTTTTTATGCTTGATAAATGATCTTAATAAGTTACCGCTGGCAATGAATATTTTATTGGATAGATCAAAGAAAGAATTACACAGTATTGTTATAAACAGTAGTGAAGAATTGCATTCCAAATACCCATCTTTGTTAAAAATGACATCTTCTGTCTCCTTCGAGAGTGATTTTGGTATATCTATGAAAAATACCCTTTCTATAATCATGAGAGAATGGTTTTGGAAAATATTTATCAAACTACTAATTGCAATTCAAAGACATAGAATTATTTATGAGTGCGTAGCATCTTTACAATTAAGTACATCTGCGAACGTATCATATAGGTTTGATAAGATATGGACAAAATGGCTAAACGAAGTAAAACTATTATTGGAAAAGTATTTAAACAATCCGACAATTTCCAATACAAATTCAATTCGTAGAAGAGGTATGAGTGTAAATTCAAATCATTCTAAAACCAATATGCAGCTTTTCTCTTTACAAAATAATTTAGATGGAAGTACAATAGCAAAAGAACATTCTCATGAATTGAAGTCATTACTAAAGGATATATTTCCGGGGTTTTCAGTGCCTGGTAATGTAGATCTATCATCAGTTTATATTGATGAAGAATCCTTTGAAGAAGAAGAAGCATTGATACAACCATCTGTATTTAATATGAAAATGATGTTGGAACCATGTTTATTATTATTCCAAGCTACTTCAAATATTCTTCCTAATGAAATGTTAGAATATTCTATTCCTTCAATGAAATTCTTAGTTGATTACATGGATAAAAAATTCTTTCCAAGGGTAGAAATGACTCTAAATTACCTTTTCGAGACTAAATTTTTAATGAATAGCAATTACACATTTGAATTGAACGAAGATAATCAAAACGTATTTAAATCAGCTATCGATTTTCGTAATTTCTTCTTCAATATATTGTTTGTTATGCATACAACATATTCATATAGAAACAAGATTTGTTCTGCAATTATTAATTTATTATCGAAATATCAAAAAAATTGCCAAGATATCTTCCAAAAGTTACTTGGGGTTACCAATGACGATTTTAATAGAAAAGTAGTTGGCATTTGGTTAAACAATAAAGAATTGATGGGAATTGAGGAAGAATTTTTAAAGGATGAAACTCAATCTCTTTCATCACAGGAATCTGCTTTGTTATTTAATGTCAGTAATCAAACTTTGAATAATGGCAAAGGAATAGAGAAATCGGATATATTGAACAACGTGGATTTGGATGCTGTTTTGCATTTCCTGAATTCTGTAATGTGGATAAATGAATGGCTGCCAAAATTAAGAAAGGTCATTCCTGTAGATGAAAATTCTCAAATAGAAAAAATTGATGCTGAGAAATTAAGAAGTGAGTGGTCGTTGTATGAGTCCGTAGAGTTGTCTACAATTGTAAGATCCAGTACCATCAGGCTTTCAATGGATGAGAAAACCGCTACTATCTTTGACAAAATTACGGATGACTTCAAAATGTTACAGTATAAACTATTAACAGCATTAAGATTCGATCTAAGAATACGATGCATTTATTATATCAACAAATTGTTCCAAACGAGCAAAGATTGGAATCCTGATGTTGGTAGCACTGAATTAGATCAAAATATAGCATTATTAATATCCGATATTAGAATGTTTGAAAGTAAGTTGAAAAATAATGTACCTGAAGACACTAGAGAACAAATATTTAGAGGCATTGATAGTATTAACAATTTCAGCTTTATCAATGGGGCAAAGTCAATCTCCATGATAAATCAAAATGGTATCAAGAAAATGTCAAGAAATATCAATTATTTACAAAATGCTTGTAGAAATGTATTTGGAAACCCATCTACTGTAGATATGAGTGGTTCGTTGTGTTTTTACACGTTATGCGGTTCCACCGAAGCGGAGTTGTTTAAAGCTATTGAAGGTAAGCAACTAGAGTTTTGTAATAAAGATGATTTAAAGACAATATTAAGATTAATTTATGGAGAGGAACTGCAGAAGAAAGTCAAAGTTCACAATAGTACTCATAGGAGAATATCATCGCTACCAGGTACAAAGAGATTCGATGAAGCCAACAAAAAGATAGATGATTTGAAGATAAAAGCTTGAAATTAAAACTCTATCTCTACCTATTTAATCTTAATATTCATATTTAAGTATTTATAAAAAATTTGTAGATGATTCAAAATATGATAGATCGATTTTTAGTTAAAGTCCATTTCTAGATCATCTCTTAAACGTTTGAAAAGTGACTATATTTTCAAGGTCAATATTAAAATTTCTTGTCAAGCTGCTCTTAGCTTCCAGTAAAGGCGAAACTATAACAATATTTAAAAACAGATCTAATTTGAACTAAGAATGATATAATCTAAGAACTAAAAGTTATAAAGCTATGTACATGATAGCCAAGGGGACTTCAATCTCATGATATGGATGATAGTTCATTAATTTTAATTGAAGATAGTGATGATATCAGGATCATAGAAGAGGATCAACGTATAAGGAAAGCGCATAATAATAACGAACCAGTCCAGTTAATAATCACATCCTCTTCTCAATCATCTAACAAGACTAAAATAAATCAGGATTGTCATAATTCTGAAGATATAAAAATAAATGAGGTTAATCATTCTTTTGAAGTAATTGCTCCTTTCATCGAAGATGATTTGAGTGAGTTAGATAGTATTTCCAGTGCCCTTGATTATTCAGGCATAACAGATGAATCACCCAAAACAGTAGTAAAAAGAAATCTATTTGTAATGGATACTAGTTTAGATGATGATCCAACAAATAATTCAAGTAGCGGTATTGATATTTCAACTAGACAGGCAACCAAGAAAAGTCTACAATCACTGGCTAATCGATGGGGAATAAAATGTGATAGAGTCTCTGAAAGTAAAGCTAACCAAGTTCAGGGATCACCAAGAAAGAATTCTTCCCCAAAAAAGAAGCAAAAATTATTTTCAAGTCAACAATTGAATGAAAATGCCACTTCTAGCCAAGCGTCTCGCAATATATTCAACCAATGCCCATTATCGTCGCCAGTTTCGAATAGTTTGATAGAATCTTCAATTCGAGATGGCAATAATCAGGATACGCATCAAACTAAAGATACTAATATAAATGAAGAGAATGTTAAGAGTAATTCAATCATTGAATTATCAAATGAATCAAAGAATAGCTTCATGGGAGAAGATTTGGCGGATAGTATAATAGAAGCCACCTTGACCAGCATCCTAGAAGATAACGAAAAATTGCCTGTACTTTCTACCCCATCAAAATCTAAAAGATGCTATAATGCAATTCAGAATGAATCGTTTAATAATGAGAAAATTAGACTGATAATGAGATCTCACTCTATGCCAGAAAGTTTTCAAAATAGGGTTGATTCGAATAATAATGACCATTGCCATTTGCATGGTTACATAGTGCGTGGGAGTAGCTATACAAGGATTGAATCTGAACAATTAATAAAACGTTTTCTAACGGAAGAGAAAGAAGCATTTAAAAGAGTAAATCAAACATATAGAGATAATGAGAAGGCAAGATCTGAGATAATTTTGGAAATTCCATGCTCAATATTAGAAGAGTTTGAATCGGTATGTCCTAATTTAAGATCATTAGTGGCTCCAGCAACTCTACAAACCGGCGACTCGGGAAATATTCCTCTAATCAGATTTTTAAGGAAATCTGATAGTGTTTATGATTTCAATAACGATATTTATTATCCAGATCAATTTAAAATATTGGATGAAAAAGTCTACATATTATATTATGATGCATTTAATTTTTTCAAACAATATAGAGAAAATAAACGTAAGTTATTCAAAGATATCAGATTTTACATAAAAAGCAAGAAGTATATTATTTTGGTTCTATATGGATTATCCCAGCTAAAGAGAGATCTTGATAACTTAGAAAATAATAAATATAAGGCACGAGTTAATGAGCATCTGTCAAAGTCACCATTAAAGTCACCAACAAAAAAATCTAATCAATCTAATCAATCTAAGAAAACAGAGAAATTACAGAATTTGAATATGAGAAGTAATGACATCGAACAAAGACTTCGTTTAATTGATCGATTATGGAATGTTAAAATTCATACAGTTAATTCACATATAGATTTTCTTAATTCTTTACCAAATCTAGTTTCATTAATTGCCAAGCAACGGAATGACCCTACAATTCGTTTTATGAGGTATGCTCATTTGAACGTCAGATCCAGTAAGGATAGAGTCGATGCCTTAAAGAAGGTTTTAAATCAAATTGGACGAATGCCAGAATTAAAAGCTGAAAGCATCACTAGAGAATACAAGGGCTTTCAAACCCTATTAGATGATTTTAAGAAAGGAGAGCTGAAATCTGGTCCTGATGGACGCCATTTAATGTCAGAGGCTATGGAAAATAGGTTATATAAACTGTTTCTCTGTCGAGATCCAGACGCATCTATAGAATAAGGAACACATTCCAATTATTTTATTCTCATACGCTTAATAAATTGCATTTTACAAAAAGTACTAATTTTATTTTATAGATTGATGATAATTTTGTTAATAATTCTGTTTTATTAAAATTGTGGACTAAATATTTTGAAGATATAAAGATACATTAACAATTGTTCTTTAAATGCTTGAGGTATACGCCATTCAGGGTCTCATTGGAAGAGAGATCCCTCATAGAAATATAATTTATAATACATACTTTACAGCCAAGTAATCATCTTCATTCAATTGATCTTTGAATTGTTCGATATTCTTGAAACCGGTTCTTAATTTTTCCAGTTCACTTTCAGTAAACTGTATTCTTGCAGTTATTAGCTGTGACAAAAAATTCAATACTCTATCTATAATATTTAAATCATCTTCAGTATTCAAACAATCGATTGAAGCCTCTAATACGTTATCCTCTCTGATAGTCTTAATTATACTTTCAGTAATTTCCATTGTTGTTAAAAATGCGTTCAATAAGGAAATTGCTCTCATCTTAAATTTTGTGCTTGATTTAGAATCGTGTAATACTGGAGGAATAACATCCAAGCCGTTTTCTGCTAAGAATTTTTCTCCAATGTCTTTATGATTTCTTATAACATTTGATAATGCGTATAAAGCTTTAGTTCTAACAGATTCAGGTTCTTGTGAGTTTTGTACTAAAACAATTAACTTCTTCAAAGAACCGTCGTATTTGGCAAAATTTTCTTGTGAATTCACATTGTTTTGAACTGCAGTACCAATAATAGATAAGGTAGCACTACGTAATTCAGATTCTTCGCTGTCTAATAATTTAAGTATTGGATCCCAAAGTTTCATATTTTCGATATTATTAGCATTATCCAAATTTTCAATCAACATTTCAAAGTTATCAATAGCGACTAATCTATTTTCTAAATCTGCTTCTTCATTTATTGCGACAGCCATAGCTTCCTTCATTAAAGTTGGATCATCTGGACCTCCACCACCGAACAACTGAGCCAACATCTTAGGATCTGGCTGACCGGCCCTCTCCATAGCCTCCTTATCACCTTGAGCATTAGCAATTGACCAATGCAATAATTTTTCCATTCTCTTCAATTAATTTCCAAATAACTTTAACTAAAGTCTAATTTACTTTATCTTGTAAACTTCCAAACCAAATCGAATGAGATCAAACCAGTACTGAGCACAGAATCACAAACTACAGATGGATTCAACTCAAATGCTTTTATATATACCTTAAAGTTTCTTTATAAATATATAATCACATCTTCTTGTAGTTTAATTATTACAGCTTCTTTTTAAAAGAAAGTTCGAGAAGTTTCTATGGAAAAATGCCAATAAGAACAATTAGCGATGAGGTTAAATAAATAGTGATTAAAGGATGGTTTGAGATTATGAAATGTAAAAGGATGTTGAAGAGTTATCTAGGCTCATTCTGGTGTTGTAGTTTGTTTAAAATAATTAGGAATTTGTTGGTGTAGGTTTTTGAATCTCTAAATTTGGAGTCTAATTGATATAGATACGTAATAAGATGTCATCGGAACACGAGACACAGGCTACTGATTCGATATTTGGTCAAAACAGAGCATTTGCATTATCTGATTCTTTAGTCAATCCAGATGTGATAACATATTTGAATCAAGTGAGAGAAGAGGCTATTCATACTAGCGCTATTTCTGTTCCAAAAAGTCGACTTGTCTCTAATTCAGTTGAATTAAAACATATGGCAGAAATGTACGATGATGATCAAGTCGAATTAATTGAAACTGGTCCAGAAACAACTTCAGAAACGTTGGTGATCACAAATTCTGTAGAGTTGTCCGATTGGTTTCAATTCGTTAGGAAACAGATTTGGGAAGAAGGGTATATATTTGAAGGCTACGACGACGAGACTTTAAATCTACTATTAACTTATTTAAAAAGATATTTACAGGCCTTGAAGGAGAAGAGAGGTATTGTAGTTCATTTGTTGAACATCTTAGCTAACCTGACAGAAATCACGTCGAATCATGATGATGAGGAATATAATATTGATGTCGAGTGGTGTGAAACCATATTGAAAAAACTTTCCAAGACTAAAGTTAGAAACTTACAAGAGTTACAACATTTTGTCAGAAGCTCTTATAAATATACACCCATGGGATTCAAACAGTGGTATCAATACATAGAACAGAATGAACCGTCCCATTCAATTTTTAAAAATATAGTTAATGAAACTAGTATTTGGGTACTTGTACAATATTTCTCCAAAGAGTGGACTAAAGATATAGCATCATATAAGAGACCCAAAATTGCAGACAGAATGGGGCAATGGTTGTTCTACGTGCTATTACATCTTCCAACAAAGCTGACAGCTGAATACACTAGTGAATTAAGAAATCTAGGGAAAAAATGTCAAAAACTATTATCAAAAGGTTCAAAATCTCCTAATCATAAACTGTCACTAACTGGAGAATTAAAAGATATTACGATTGAAGATATCCCTGAATTTGCCGACCCATTGGCCCTGACGCTGGCAGTAATTGCAGAATTTTATGGTCAACGAGATCTAATTGCTCTCTCGAAATAATTTACCGTTGAAGGCTTACTTTCAAATCATAGTTAGAAGCATAGTACACACACTAATCACACAAACAACTGATTTTATCAAGCATCAGGAGCATTACTTGTCTTCTGGCTGTTTTAACTCTGGTCATCTCATTTTGTCATTTTGATCTCAGTGAAAAAAAAAAATTCAAGGCTCTTAACTGCGGGAGAAAAGTTGAATTTGACTCATGATGCTAAATGAGATGAGATAAATCAAGTTTATATAAAACCATTGGTAAGGTTGGACTGTATTGATTGGATCTATCGATTAAGATTTGTGATACCAATTGTTGAGGTTTTGTGTTTCCTAAGTGTTTGGTTACTATTTCATCAATTTAGGTGAAAAATTTTAGGATCAAGGTTTAATTGAAAGTTATACCATTAGGAACATAATCAAGAATTGGTAAAAAGCTAATTGAAGTGTATCATAATTATTTGAATATTAATGTCTGAAGATAATCCCACTCCGCAATTGATAGATGACCTTGAATTACATCCAAATGATAACGCTAGAGTTTTCAAGGATTTATTAGGTGGTACTGCTGGTGGTATCGCTCAAGTATTAGTTGGTCAACCTTTTGATACTACAAAAGTGCGTTTACAAACCTCTACTACACCAACTACAGCTACTACTGTTATTCGTAACTTGATTAAAAATGAAGGTCTAAAAGGTTTTTATAAAGGTACATTGACGCCATTGGTTGGTGTAGGTGCTTGTGTATCAATTCAATTTGGTTGTAACGAAGCAATGAAAAGATATTTCCATGCTAAAAATAACGATGGTGCTTCAACTTTACGTTTACCACAATATTATATGAGTGGGTTTGTTGGTGGTGTGGTCAACGCATTTTTGGCTTCCCCTATTGAACATGTAAGAATTCGTTTGCAAACTCAAACTTCTTCTGGTGCTAATGCTGAATTCAAAGGTCCAATTGATTGTATTAAAAAATTGAGGGCACAAGGTGGATTGATGAGAGGTTTAGTTCCAACAATGATTAGAGAAGCACATGGTTGTGGTACTTATTTCTTAGTGTATGAGGCTTTAGTAGCAAGAGAAATTAATAAAGGTTTAAAAAGAACAGACATAGCAGCAACAAAACTTTGTTTATTTGGTGCATTATCAGGAACAACTTTATGGTTAATGGTTTATCCATTAGATGTCATCAAATCTGTTATCCAAACAGATAATATAAAGAACCCTAAATTTGGTAATAATATTCCTACCGTAGCCAGAAATATCTATAAGAGAGGTGGTTTAAATGCATTCTTCAAAGGGTTCGGTCCTACAATGTTAAGAGCAGCCCCAGTTAACGGTGCTACATTTGCAACTTTTGAATTGACAATGAGACTACTAGGTTAATAAAAATCAATTAACCACGACTATTCTAGTGGTTATACTGTAAACATATTATGGGCACAAAGTAAATATATATAGTTATGTGTATATATATAAGTATATTACATCAAAAGTCTTAAATAGTAATTGAACAATATGTAGATAAGAAGAAAATCCTCTATCTATTCATCTTCAAGTCTACGAAGTAAATAATCTACTTCTACTTCTTTGGTTATTGGAATAACAATTTCTTTGTATATTTTAACTAAATATTCTGGCGTTATTCTTCTCTCACCTTCTTTATTTGCTGGATCGACACCATAAACTTCAGCTTTCAATATCAATCTCTCCAGGATCTTTTCTTCAACAGCTGAATTTGTAATATTTTCCATTATACCATTTATATCTTTATCTTTGATCAATTTAGTATATAATGGGATGTCACTTTGGTATTTGGCCTCTGCAACAAACTTACCAAAGTGTATTCTTCTGCTTAAACTTTGTAGCAATTCAATGTCACAACCAGTAACTGAACCAAAGTTTTCCTCTTGATCACCTTGATACTTAGATATCAATGGTATAATTTTTTCGATATAAGTGTGCTTAATCTTATTATTGTAATTGACTTCAGATGCATAAGGTGCTAAAACTTGTGGGTAATGAATACTTGGTAAAATTGGATCTAAAATATGATCTGGAAAGAAGGGAGTTTCGTCAGGGGATTCGAATCTTCTCAATTGAGATTGGGTGATCTCTGCATGCATTAATGCCCAATCCAAGAATGAACCTTCGAAATTTGGGATTGTTAAAAGTTCATGATTTGGATCATAAACCGCAGGACAAGTTGGGAAATGGGACCTTTCAATGAACTTGAAGATAATGCTATCTTCCATTCGAACTAATTCATTTCTAATATTCTGTAAATCTAACACAGTTTCAGGTATAGTAAAATTCATAATAAGCAATTAGCAATATATTTAGCAGTTTGTTTCTTTATTCAATTATTGTAAAGCCAAAAGAAAATTCTGGAATTGTATGAAATATGTACTGTATAATACAAAAGATAATTCTTTATAAAGTTAAATTAGCAACCTATTTGAATACTCTGTTTATTCCTTGGGTCAGCTATTTAACACAATTGTCATTGAATTAAACAAGCATTGGCTTTTTATTAGTAGTTACTATGAATTTTAATAAGAGGTCAATTTGAATATGCGAAATTTATTGCGATGAGGTTAAGGTTTGAAGCAAGTAAACTACGATGTAAGATTATAAAGTATCCATTAGGTATGGAACTTTTCTTAGCTTTATGTTATCAGATCTCTTGAATTTAGTAATGATGGACAGCCCATGAATATTATTATTGATATATGTTTTTTATTTAATGAAATTTGTAAGAAACCAACCAGTTTCTTTTCTTGAATGAATATATTAAAAATCGTAACGGAATATATGTATTATGTGTGTCAGATGAGTTTTACCCATAGATTTGGATTATTAATGCATTATTTTTGTTTCTTTGGTTTTTCTAATTCTGCCAGAAGCTTATTGTTTTTTGCAACTTCTCTATCCAAATCTTCTTTCGTTCTAAACATTGAGAAAGTTCTAAACCATAAAAACCTTTTCAAACGAGACATTTTATCTGTATCGAGTCCATAGTTTGTATAAGATAGTATCAAATCTCTTTCTGAATCTTCTTGTGAAGGGGATTTCATATTAATTGCATCTTCTAATTCTGATAGTAACGCCACGCCTTTAACACATGCGTACAATGAACAAACAAAAATGCATAGTTGCCATATATTAAAAGATTCTTTCTCTCTATTTAATTCTTGAACATCATCCCAGGTTCCTGCACTCCAATAGGCGTATGTGTAATCAGATTGATAGCCATAACCATTACCATAATGTTTTGTAGAATATGCATTTGGATAATTGTGACGTACACAGCCATTGTTAACCCATCCTGATTTATTACAATCATATAAAAATTTTTTATCCTTATCTTTCAATATTTCATAAGCATGAGATATAAGTTTAAATCTTTCCAATTTTTCTTCTATACTTAATAATCTACTCTCTTTGCCTGACACATTTCTTAAGATATGTTTATTACATGACATATCAGGATGATAAAGCTTAACATATTTATGATAAATTTTTTTCAAACTCTTGTTATCCACGTCTGTACCTTTCAAATTAAAGATTTCATAAGGTGTTGGGTTATTATTGTTTGGCCATAATGAATCATGTAAATAACCTGGTTCACTGCCTGACTCAGAATGAAATTTTGAAATCAAAATTACCTTCCCACGATTTAAAATCACTCTCCTATCAACTTCAATGGGAATACGTCTAAGTGCAGTACTACAAAGCATTATCACAATATTATTATTGGCACTAATACTTCTAGTTCAACTTCTAGTTCCGTATGGTAACTAGTACCTTAGTTCAAAATTGACACTAACCCAGTAGTATCCTGTTTTTTTAAAATGTTAACTTGGGATATATCTTATCCACACAATAAATGAATAAATGAATAAGTAAATCAATCAAAGAGTATAAATTAAATCAATTTTATTAAATTACAAATAGTGATTTTAATTTATATTCTTCTAATCCTTTTTTATTACCTCTTTCTTTGTTAAAAACTGGTCATGAAATGGGATGAGCATATTACATACACCAGAATTTATCGCTCTGCTGCTATAATTGGCAGTATCCTCAAATAATAAAAAAAACGGTTTTGTCAAAAGATAGTTAAATTCACAAACCTCATATGCAGCAACAACAACAACAACGACAACAACTACAATAAATTCGATTGTAATAACAATTAAAATATGCAATATAATCTCAATTCAAACCTTTTTACCTCTTTATCCTATAAGAAAGAAGTACCTTAAATAACTCTTTTATCTTCTCTGTAATAACAGCCAATTCAATTATTAAGGAATCTTCAGTCAATACAAATAGTATAAACCTTAACAAACTTATATACTTGACCAGTTACAATGAACAATGATGAACTTTCCCCTCGTAAGAGTACCTTGGCCTCTTGTAATGACTTGTAATTCCTTTTATATTGTTGGCCTGGAGCAGGATCAGTTTCGGAGCAGTTTGTTTCTTGATGAGTTGATGAAGTTTTATCTCTTACTTAAATTAAAACCACTCAACTTGCAATTAAAAGATGGTTTCGAAACAGTTTTAATAGGTTAAGTATTGTTAATTGAAGGTTATATCAGGATTGTATCGAAGGTTTAGAGAGCTTTGTAATCTGGGTTAGGTAGTCAGTGAGAGTTCATTGTGTTCTTTTCAGTTTCTAATTCGTTTTTATAAAGGGGTGTTTTGCCTTTCTAGATCAAATCAAATATTGGTTAGTTTATGAGTGACTTTTGGGATAAGAACAAAGGGTCTATTGCCTCTGGGTTCAAGAGTGCTGGTAAGTATACTTATCAGGGTGCCAAATATGTGGGCAAATCAGGCTATAATGCCAGTAAAAATCATTATAACAAGAGTAAAGAACAAAGAGATAAAAGGGACAAGAAAAAGGGGAAGAAAAAGAATGGTGATGATGAATACAGTGGTGATGATAGTTATAGTGATGATGACAGTAGTTACTCAACTGCATCTATTCCCGTTAGTAGTATGAAAGATCCAAATTCATTTCCTCCTCCTCCATTAAAACCGCAGCAGGTACAAGCGACCTCTTCTTCTCATAGTGTGGAACAATATCCTGCTTCTGCAGGAGTTCCGCAACAGCAATTGAGACAGCTTCCTCCTCAACCAATATCTGCTACTCAGCAACCTGCTTGGCCCCAACAACCCGCTGCTAACCAATACGATGGTCAAGTTTCTGCTCCAGACCAGTCTCAAATGCAATATGGCGGACAAACTCAATATCAGCAACCTCCTGCTATGCAACAGCCACCTGCTATGCAACAACATCCTGCTATGCAACAACCTCCTGATATGCAACAACCTCCTGATATGCAACAACCTCCTGCTATGCAACAACCTCCTGCTATGCAACAACCTCCTGCTATGCAACAACCTCCTGCTATGCAACAACCTCCTGCTATGCAACAACCTCCTGCTATGCAACAACCTCCTGCTATGCAACAACCGCCAAATATGGTAGGACAACCTAGTAATCAATTTCAATTACCAGAGCCTCAACAGCGTCAAACTCCCCCACTACCACCTGTTACCTCTCAGCCATATGGGGAGGCTCAAAACCAGGCTCAAAACCAAGGACAATTTCAAGCAACACCATTGTCTCAATTACAAAACATGCAACAGGAGGAAACGACTCGTTCTGTACCTAATGCATACGATCCCCAGCAAACCTATTCCCAACCGCCTTCTATTCCTCAGAGGCATACTCCACAACCAGTTGTTAATCAGGTTCAGTACCAGGAATCCCAGTCTTCTATACCGCAAGTTAATCAAGATTATTATGGACAACAGCCAGAAGTAAACCAACAAAACAATTTGATGAATCGAAGCATACCTCCTCCTATGCAACAGCAACCGCCTATGCAACAGCAACCACCTATGCAACAGCAACCACCTATGCAACAGCAACCACCTATGCAACAACAACCACCTATGCCACCACGAGGACCATCACTGGCTGCTCCAGCTTATGGCGGAACGCCTAATATAAATGCCAATGCTCAACTCCCAGCTTCATCTGGTATTACAGTAAAACCTTATAATCCAGATGAAGTTCAAACAAGAGAGCCGTTGGCACTTAAAGTTGATATTGGTAATCTTCCTCCACCTCCTACACATAGAGATAGAGGGACAGAAACTCGTCCACCTTCAGAACCAAAGCCATCTCCTGCCATTAGAAATCCGATTAGCGCAGTACCAGCTGTTTCCAGAGCCTCGACTCTTGATTCATCATCTGTACCTGTAAATTCAATACCGGCTCATCAAAACCAACCGATTTATATGCAAGACAATTCTTCTAGCGTAGAATCGTTCCCTGACGAAGAAACCTCGGATTTCAATAATCTTCCGCCACCACCACCTCCAAACCGCCGTGTCACTGAGCAAAATCTGGAAAAGTCGGCTAAAAGTTCTACAATTGGCCAAGAACAACGTAATGATTCTAAGACAGAGCCACCAAGAGCTGCAATTGTAGGTTCTTTTAATTCAAATCCTACAATTAATTTTGAACCACCTCCTAAGCCATTTAGGCCTGTTGTTAATTCTGACAGAAAGTCAGAAAGCCCTGTTCAACCGCAACCACTAGCTCGTTCAGCTAATGGTCCACCTGCTTTACCATCACGCCGTGGTACCCAAACTAGCTTTGAATCGCATCCCACACCACCTTCTATGGAAAGCAGCACACCAAGTCTTCCAAATAGGTTGAATCGTAATGAACCACCAATTGCAGAAAAACCAGTGTCGTCATTTCCACCTCCTCCAAAGCCATTCAGAAGAGTTGAAGCTGAATCACCTTCTCATTCTCAAGTTAATGATTCTAATAAGGAAAGCTCTGCGCCAAGAACACATAATTTCGGTAATGATGAGGATGAAGATATTTCAGCACCAGTAAAATGGAATCCTCCAGCAGAATTGTTGGAAAGGAAATCAGAAATCGATGTTAAAAAAGGCAAAAAGGCACCACCTCCAGTTGTTAAACCAAAACCTAAGAATCTTTCCTCTGTAAACAAGGTAAACCCTGAATATGAGGGCCATAAGCCAGTGGGTTCAATGAATCAAAATCAAAATCAAAATCAAAATCAAAATAGTTTAAACAGCATAACCGATGAACTAACACATGTCCACTTGAGAAAGACAGGAATTAGTTTGGAAGATGAAGGAAAGAAGTTTGGAGGTAATGACACTTCAATTGATGATATTCCTCCTAAATTTGAAAAGATAGAAACATCAAGGAAACCAAAAGCTCCACCAGCAGTTCCTAAAAAGAAAGATAGTATACGAGGTGCTCCACCACCAGTACCGGCAAAGAAGAAGAATTTGAATGCTACCCCTCAACCTCCTCCATCTAGACGTAATAATAATGTTAATAATGATAATGATGACGATGACAGCAATCCATTTGAAAAATATATGAGAGATGCTGTTCCTGCAGAGGAGAATAGACTGAGGAAGTAGGACGTTAATAAATTTAGATTTATTTTAAATAGTACATATATAATTATACAAGTTTGAATGAGACGTTTATTTAATTATTTGTTTGTTTTTGGGTTATTGAATGATAAAACAGATTAAATTAGTAGGTACATAACTGCTATATATACATTAATATATGTATATATTAATATATCAGGGTTGAGTGTCTGATTATCTAAATCTTGACACTTGGTATTTTTAATTTCTTCTTGCATCGAAGGAGAAAGATACTATTTGAAACACATATATAAGTCTATATATCGTTTTTCATTTTTTTAGATTTCATTCTAAAAATCGTAATTTCTTGGAATTAAAATTTAACGATATCTGAACTGAAGAAATGATGATGAAGTACCATTAAAATGAAATTTCTTGTAGTTCTTCTTTTAACAGCTACAAATATAAAATAATAATTAATAAAAAAAAAATCAATTCAAATCAAATCAAATCACATACAATAAAATAATATAAAAAATAATCTCCTAAAACTGAATTATTTTTTTTCAAAAATTATTTAGATAACAAAGCAGCAAATTGTTGAATATTGATTTCACCTGAACCATTGCTAACTTCTCTTAACATATCATCGACTTCAGCATCAGTTAATTTTTCACCGATGGAAGTTAAAACATGTTTTAATTCAGCAGCGGAGATTAAACCATCACCATTTTTATCAAAAACCTTAAAAGCCTCCAATAATTCTTGTTCGGAATCATTTGATTTTAATTGACGGGACATCAATGCTAAGAATTCACTAAATTCAATCTGGTTGTTACCGTTGACATCAATTTCATTCATTAGATCAGCAACTTCAGCTTCACTTGGTGATAAACCCAAAGATCTCATAACTGTAGCTAGCTCACTGGAAGAAATAGAGCCATTATTATCCTTATCAAACAAAGCAAAGGCTTCCTTGAATTCGGCGATCTGTTCTTCAGTTAAATTAGATGACATTTTATCCTTCTTGTTATTTGAGATAATTCAAAAATAGTATTAAAGTATTAAATTATTAATCTCCTATCTTTCTTTAAAATAAATAGAACTCCAAACTCAACCTGTTAACTTCTTCGTTATCAGAAAAGATTAGTAAACCAGTAAGTAAGATATAAGAACAAAAGAGATCAAGAGATCAAGAATCTTCCTAGACTGTATCCCATCCAATCCCCTCATATCCTATCGTATCCTTTATATCCTTTTCTCATCAATCTATCTCCATGTCTTGTCTTGTCTTGTCTTGATGGGTTTGGTTCTATCTGTTACGTTAACACACTTTTCCAACCTGTTTCTTTCGAGATATTTTCAAATTTTTTGATCCCTGAGACACGGTCACGTGGTTGTGTGTGTATATATATGTGCATCGAAGCCACGTGATTTGGTTCTGATCGGCGAGTGTTGGACAGGGAGGGTAACTGTATGAGTGTATGTGTGTGTACATACCGAGGTGCTCTGCTCTGTATATCTCGAACTCAGATTGGATACCGACCTCTGTCATCTCTTTGATGCTTTACTACATCCACTGGCATTCACAATATTACCCTACTATGCTCTATATATACATAAATATATACGTTCTAGCTAGCAAAAGTGCTCCTCAGGCGGAAAACATATGTTATCGTGTACGAAACGTCAGCAAACCCAACACGTCTTCAAGTGTGTTATACCAAGACTTGTGACAAGTTACGCTTGTTGAAAGATCTCTATTCTACTCTTCTCTTTTCCCTCTGAAATTAATTTCACTCGAACAGTTATCTGTTTTAGGCTTAGACATTCCATAAAACTTCAACAGTTTATCAAGATATCTGGCATCGTTATAATTCTTTAGTGTCTTCCTTTTGTTGCTACTCTCTAATTCATAGACCCAGAATTTGTAAAATTCTTTAGAATACAATTCAATGAATTCGTGTTCGGGAAGCAACACATCTCCATCTCCATCTCCATCTTCATCTTCATCTTCTCTATCACTATTGAATTCCTCTTTATCAGATGCATTAGTAATTGTTCTTCGTGGAATACAAAGATCAATAATCGGTTTGGATCCATATTTTTTTACAATTTGATACGTCAAATATGTGTAGAATCTACTCATTACCAATTCATTATATCCACCTCCTCCTAATAGAATAATATCACTTTTAGGAAACCATTCGATTAAATTTTGTATATTTCTCGTTAATCCGCTAATCGTCAATTGCCATTCTTCAAATTTGTCTCCGATTAATCCATCGCCGCCACATTGTATTACCAACACTTCTGGAGAATGTCTTTCAATTAATGGCTTAATCAATTCATTAACTATTTCGGTCATGTAGTTATCATCAACCCCATGGTATAATGGCACATTTACAATATTTTTCCCGTTTAATGTATCTTCGAGAGATCCAGTACAGGGGAAAAACCCCGGTTCATACATATGCATAGATATCGTTTGAATATTGGAAGAATATCTAAACGCTTTCTCCACTCCATCTCCATGATGTAAATCGAAATCAATATAAGATACCTTGGAGATACCTTTCTTTCTTAATTTTTGTATTAATATTACAATGTCATTGATATAGCAAAATCCACTTGCTTTATTCTTAATAGCATGGTGTCTACCTCCATCCCAATTTATTGCAATAGTACGTTGACTTGATGATTTCTCAATAAAGTCAGAAAGCATCAGTGACGCGCCACTAATAACCTCACAATATAAAGGAAGAAATGAAAACAATGGACAGTCGCCCTCCAAATTAAACTTTTTGTATACATCTTGTTGCCTTTCTCTACTATTGTTGATTTGAAAATATTCATTAGCCTCAGACCCAGACCCAGACCCAGATTCAGATTCAGATTCAGATTCAGAGAATGCCTCTGAAATGGAACGCTTCTTCTTGAAACGATTATATTTCTTATAAAATTCAAGTAACCCAGCTCGTTTCTCGATCATGCCACTTGTAGGTACTTCTTCAGGATGGGAGTCTAACCAATCTCTAATATATGGATGTAATTGAGACCATTTACTTTCATCATCGTCATATTGTATGATCCGATTGTAAACAGGATCTAGTAAAAGATCAATGTAGTCCCTTGAATGAAATTGCAACAAATCCTTCTTATTGCAACAAGGATCATCAATTATAACATCAAATCCGTCTAATAATCCATAACTGACCAATAATGAATACGTTAGTTGGGATTTTTTATATTTGTTACATGGTAACAAATCAGCAACCTGAGATTGAAATCTTGACGTAGAGATAACCAATTTGTATTGCATTTTCTCCGTTCAATCCACTAAACCACCAACCCTTATCATAATTTATACCAGATATAACAGCCCCACAAAGACCAGCTATTCATAAACCTTACCAATCTGTCACTTTGTCAATCTTTTCACTTCACTTTCAGCTCATCTCATCATCTTTCCTTTAATTTGGCAATATCAATAGAAGAAAGCTTTAAAAGCGAAACTTTTTTAAATACATGTTAATAAAGAAAGTTTCAGTAAAACTAGTTGTATTAAGATAGGTACTAAACAGGGGGATAAGATAATAATTAAACAAGTCAATTGGGAGGATTTGTTGTTTTTAAGCGTGTGTTTAATCCTATTTGAAGTTTTCTCTGTTTTGGATTGGTTTAAATTGGGTAATTCTTTATTTAAAGGTAGTAACAATATTTTGAAAATATGGTGATTGATTCATATGTTGAAACGTTAGATACCATTATTAGACTGTTCCAAGAGTATAAGCCGGGCTCTATTACTCTGGATAATATTACGAAATTATGTCAGACATTGGGTTTAGAATCGTTTATTGATGATATTGATTCTCACTTATCGAGACTATCTACTGCTTCGAAAATTATAGTGGTTGATATTGATTTTAATAAGATTGAAGGTAAGGTTGTCGATGTAAAATTGGTTTTAGCTTCGAACTTTGATAATTTCAATTATTTTAATGATGAAAATGGGAAAGGTGATAATATTTTACTAAATTCTCTAACTCAATATTCAACTTTACGTGAATTTCATCATAATTTACAATATATTTATTTATTGGATACTTATTCTCAAATTGATTCAGATCCTTCGAATTCGAACAATGGAACTGCTAATTCAACAGGAGCTAATAGTACTGGTCTACTTAATGTTGATGGCAATACCTCAGCAGCTACACCTGCGATTTCTGTCTCTGCCTCTACTACCGGTAATGGTAAATTGGATTTGTTTAAATATTATACAGAGTTATCTGAATTTATGAAAAATTATTTTCAAGCAAATTGCATAGATTTAAAAATTGAAACAAATTCTGGCAATATCTTTGGTATTTATATTGTCTCGCCAGATGATAATTGTAAATTAGCCAAGATCTATTTAGAAAAATCAAAAGACCCTTCACATAAACTATTTGAATACGTCTTTTCAGATGATACAAAGTGCTGGATAAATGAAAATGCAGAAAACTATACCACAGGTGTCTCTCTAGTGATGGAAATTATTGACTCAGATGATTCAAACATTTGGTTTCCTAAAGAATTTATTTCTCCAGAATTAATTTGCGAACAAGATAAAAATTCAAGGAATGGATTCTCAAATGATTTAAATAAAGAAAATAATTTAGATGCTAATAAAAATAATATTTTGAGTCTATTCCCTAATAACATTAGTGAATTCTCATATAATGAAAGAGTACAAGTTATTAATGATTTTACAACAGATTTGATAAACATATCCAAGTTTAATATTGGTAATGATAATTTAGATTTGATATTAGAAATAATAAATTGGATAAAGTGGTATAAAATTGTTCTGACAAAAATTTATGACACCCTAAGTCATACCGATAATAACTCTGGTATATTTAATTCAAAAAATGGGTTTCAGAATGATAATATCAACAATAAATCAATGAATATAGAGAATAATACTGAAAGCAATAATATAAACGGTAGAAGGCGATCTAGCTCAATAGGTTCAACCAGGAAAAGACGTTCCTCCACTAAAAGTAAGAGACCAATAATTGCGGAGGCTATGATGCTTAAAGAAGAAGGTTTACAACAATTCAATCTTCATGAAATTTTATCTGAACCAGCAGTAGAGGATGAAACAGAAGCTCCTGCTACTAATGGAGAAACCTTGTTATCTAAGAATGATGATATGGACACTACATCTACATCTACATCTACATCTACATCTACATCTACATCTGAAAAGGGTCAATCAAATGTTATCCTATGTGAGGATCATGTGTCACTGGATCAAACATCAAGTTGTACATTATATGACGATGTAGAAAAATGGAATTCGTTTATAGATATATTCAAGAAGCACATCAAAAAAGCCAATGATGACAATAATTAGATTATAAAACTTGTATAAATATAAAGAGCATTAGTTTTGACTATTCTTTTGTTAACCGACAGAACTATTACGAAGTCTTGAATTTAAAACAATAGGTACTGTATATCCAAAAATATGGTTGTGCTTGTAAGATATTGTTGCGTTTGGCTTGGTTATGTAGACTCTTTCTTTATATAAATTATGGTAATTATACTGTCAAGGTATCATAATCATTCCTCATGATCATCCTTGTTTCGAATTAACCAATTACCACGAAATCATTGAGTCATTGAGCTTATTCGTATTATGAACAAGGTAACTGTGGGAAGAAAAGTAACCTCGTTACCGAATCTCAGTGATATTATATTAATATTTCATGAATACATTTTTGTTTTACTGACAACAATTGTTTTTTTTAATGTTTTGTTTGAAAGCTTCAGTAGTTATCCACTTTAGCGAACTTAAATATATTTTAAGTTTGAAAATTATAATAAACATGAATTAGATTTTAAATATAATATTTACGATGATTCTTTGTTGCTATAGATCCATCTCTTCTACGATAGGACTATTTTGGTTATTACTGTAACATAGAGGGGGTTTTCTTCATTTACAAAATTGAGAAACTGCGGGATCTAACAAACATCAAAGGTATGGGGAGAAACATTAAAATTTATAAGTTTGAGCAAAACTGACACCTTGAGCAAATGCTTGAACACGGGCATCTAGTTTATAACCTTGCTTATCAAGGGAGATCATTTCTTTGACAAAGTCTTTTAATGGGATTGTAAAACATTCAATGAATTCATTATCTTCCAAATGAGTGACCGGATTTATATTTTCAGGTAAAGTCATATCGACTTCAACAGTAACCATAGATAAATTAGTATTAGTGAAACCTGGATCATTAAACATAATTGGACTCTCTTCAACAATTTTTCCAATATAACCAGTTTCTTCTTTTAATTCTCTTAATGCAGCAGTTGCGATACTTTCATTCGAATCGATTAAACCTGCTGGCATTTCAATACAAACACCTTCAACAGGTGGTCTGAATTGTTTTTGTAAAACAATTTCATCAGGTTTATCATTTGGATATTTTAAAATTGCAATAATACCAATACCATCAATGCCACCAGAATTCCTCGTAGTACGAACTGCACTATCCCATTCACGTTCAACACCATTAGGATCCAAATAAGTGATCTTTTCTAGACCAATCCATTTACAATCATTAGTATTAACAACTTTACGAACGTTAACTAATTTAGCTTCTTCCGGTTTACCCTTAACTACACTCATTGCTCTAACCAATCTACCACTGCAGCTTCTGATACCAATTCTTCGAGCTATATTCATTCAACAACTCAACACAATCAATTCCAAACTAGTAATATAAATTATAACTACTATATATGTATACTAATCTCATCCTATTCTAACACAACAAACTAATTTAAAACATGAATAAAAGAGATGAGATGTCTTATTAGATAAAACACAGAGCGAAATTTCAAATAAGCATTCTATTCCTTTAGTCTATCTGATTTGAAAAATTTATTACTATTTAAAGAGTTTAATGAATATTTCAGTTTAGCAGTGAAGGCAATTAAGGAAGTATATCTATCAATCGTATATCCATATCTGTACTAGATATAGACTGTTGCTTTTGTTTTTATTGTTGATATTAGTTGTTTTTAGGATTTAATTTTATTACATCAGCTTTTTAATTTAGATCAATTCAGAGAGACAAAAGAAAGAGATGACGGCTAATATCAATAATTCCAATGTTGGTTTAAAAGCACAGATACAACAGTTTTTAGTTGAATCCGGAAACTATGAAAAGTATGTATTTACCATAGATTAATAATTTACAAAAACTTAAATATCCATATCAACCTTTTCCTTCATGTCTTCTTTTCACTAACATTATCTTTTTATTATTGATAATAATGTATACAAAGAATATCTAACGAACTAAACCTGAAATTGTTAGAGGATGGATGGATTGATGAAGTTCACAAGATGACAGTTTCTGAAATAACCTCATCAGGGTCTAATAAGTATTCTCAAATATTAGAAAATGTAGAACCCAAGGCATTAGAGCTGGTTTCTAATTCCACCAAAGAGTCAATATTAAAGCAATTGCGTGAATTTTTAGAAGAAATAGTCGAAACTGAATAATGCATTAGTCAATCAATTTGTTTCATCGACTATATCTCTTTGTTTTTATCATAAAATGCCATTATAAAGTAATTCTCATAAATAGATAGATTTTGTAAAATAAAGATACAATAGACATTATAAATAGAATAATCTCTATATAGTATATCGATAAATTTATATAATAATAATAATAATCTTATTATTATTTTTAAAAATCATATATACAATTCACATATTTACATCCAATAACGCTGTAAGTTTTTATTCATCATATTCTTCATCTTCTTCAACCTCTCTAACTACCTTTTCACTAGAGGTTACTTCATTTTCTGTTTCCTTTTCTTTATTCTCTTCAGTTCTTTCACGTTCTTCTTCTTCACGATTCTTAGCATCTTCTTGTAATTTCTCTAGTGCTTCAGCTGTTGGTTTAATGACAGTAGCAGAGTCTTCAGCTGGAGTTGCATCTTTCGATTCAGAAGTACCGTTAACAATTGGCTCTTCACTAACTGGGCTCTCAGTTTCCTTTGATTCTTCAGCTACAACACCGGCAGGTTCTTCGGCTTTAGTTTCTTCTGCTTCATTTGTGGCTTGTTCCTTTTCAATCTGAGCTTCAGTAACTTGAGAATCTGAAGATTCTTGATTGGATTCAATTGGTTGAGCTTCAGAGGTTACTTCTTCAGTTTCAACTTCTGGAGCTTTTGTAGCTTCTTCAGGAATATTCACACCAGAAGGTTCTTCCGAGGCAGGTTTTTCAGCAACTGGTTCTTCAACAACTGGTTCTTCAACAACTGGTTCTTCAACAACTGGTTCTTCGACAACTGGTTCTTCGACAACTGGCTCTTCGACAACTGGCTCTTCAGTGACTGGTTTTTCAGCAACTGGTTCTTCAACAACTGGTTCTTCAACAACTGGTTCTTCGACAACTGGCTCTTCGACAACTGGCTCTTCAGCAACTGGCTCTTCAGTGACCGGTTCTTCAGCGACTGGTTTCTCAACTACTGGCACTACAGTAGTTGGTACCTCTACATTTGAATGTTCAGTAGGTGATTGTTCAGCAGCTGGTTCTTCAGCAGCAGTTTTAACGACTATTGATTCTTCAGTTACGGATTCTTGAGCGGCTGGAGAAGCTGATTCCGGGGAAGCCTCAGTTTTTTTGATCTCAATAGCAGCTATTGGTGCTAATGGTGTTACAGCGGGAATTGACTCAGCAGCTTCAGATTCGTTATTCTTAATGGCGTCAGTTGCTACAGTAGATGCCAATGGTGGTAAAGTAGTAGTTTCTGCTCTTTCATCAATTTTCACAGATGAAGCATTACTTCCTGCTGAAGGTTCTGTAATTGGTGCTAAGATTGTGGTTGAAGTTTCAGTTCCTGCAGCAGGTTCCTTATCAGTGGTGCTTTCAGGTTCTTCCGAATTTTGGGAAGGAGATGGCTTCAACTTTTTTGCAGCTGGTTCCTCGACTTCTGAAGCTGGAAGAGATTCAGCTTCAGTTGGTTTTGGTAATTCTGCACTTTTTCCTTCAGTAGATCCAGGAGAGGTAGTTGAAACTGCTGCATTAACCAGAGTATGAATATTGCTATCAATTGGTCTCTTCTGTGGAAGTGTTTCACTAGGAGTGACAGCTGGCTTTGTTTCAAGAGTTGGTTGAGTTTGTGTTGGAACTTGGCTTGGTATTGGTGCTAAAGTTGGTGGAGCTGCTGGGGTTGCACCTTGAGGTGGAGTTGGAATAGTTGATTGGACTGGTGCTACTTGAATCTGTTGTGGTTGAGGAGAAACTTGTTGTGGTAATTGAGCTGGTAGATGTTGCACTGGTTGAGGAGAAGCTTGTTGTGGTACTTGGGGTTGCTGTGGAATTTGAGGCTGAGGTAAAGGTTGAGGAACTTGCTGATGTGGCATTTGGGATTCACTAGAGACAGGTAATTGGTGAACTTGTTGTACGTAACCTTGTTGTCCTTGTTGCATTAACTGAGGACTTCCTTGTTGATAGTACGCTTGCTGAGCCTGGGCATGTGCTTGCGCTTGAGCTTGAGCATGAGCCTGAGCCTGAGCATGAGCCTGAGCTTGTGCTTGTGCTTGTGCTTGAACCTGTGCTTGAGCTTTGACCTGAACTTGAGCCTGAGCTTGTGCTTGAACCTGTGCTTGAGCTTGACCCTGTGCTTAACCTGAGCTTGTGGCTGAACTTGACCTTGAGCTGGGCTTTGACCTGTGCTTTAACTTGAACTTGAGCCTGACCCTGAACCTGACCCTGAACTTGAGCTGAACCTGTGCTTTACCTGTGCCTTAACTTGAACTTTACCCGGACCGGAACTTAACTTGAGCCCGAGCTTGTGCCTGGGCAGTTGCTTGAACCTGTTGGGCCGACCCTAGACCTAACCTTTTTTTGTTGACAATTTGGGAACACAGCACTTAGTTGGGGCTAACTTCAAGGATAACCTTTCCGTTGTTGGAGAGGGGTGTAAATTACGAGAGGTTACACCGTTGCCAAGAGAACCGCCCAAAATTGAAGGAGAGCTTGTCCTGGTTGGCTTGA